GTGCACTGCTCAGGAAGTGTTCAGTACGGTCATGTACACTGCTGGTTTACCCCATATTTCACTTAAATACCAAAAGCCCTGTTCTCTTTTCTTTTTGATATAAAAAAGGATATCACCAACAACTTGTTTAGATCAGTTGTTTCGAAAAAGTAGAATTTGTTCCCCTATCATAGGAACAGGGTGCTAAATGCTATGAACACCTGTGGCTGAGTATGGGCGTAATGAGCTATTTTTTGGTCCTGTTCCGTAACTGTGTTCTATACAGAAAGTCTGCGAGTCACCACGCCTACTCCGTGTGACTTGCCTGTGCAGCCCTATGATTTTTTTATGAATTCGTAATGCAATGGGTTTTCAATGCAGCCACTTTCTCAATCAAATCTTCCCCTAAAGCCATTGAAACTGATGTATAGGCCTATCTCTTTAAATCTGATGACGTATAGTTTTAAAACCATGCGCCTGACTTTTTCTTAAAAAAAAAATTGGAACTTTTACTCACCACCCTCTCAAAAGATCCTGAATATTCCCAGAAATGTGAGGCTCACTCCGTGTACCTCACAGTTCCAAATTTTTATTGGTTTGAAATGCTATGTGATCCTGAATGTGCCCATTGACTATGCCTAAAATTGCACTTATCTATCAAAGCTTCCACAAAAAAGGTGTCTGTAAACCTGCTAAGTAAAATCTTATTAATACGTGTGCTCAACAGTTGCCTTTGAATGTAATCCATTCGTTGGATTACTAAGGAGGGAGTATGATAAATCCAGTTTTGTGCAAATGTCAGGATTGCACTGAGCAAAGGCATGTGAAAATGTTCACTTGTGACCCAAATCTGATCTGGGAAAAACTTCAATCAACGGACGCCACTAATTTTACCCTGCAGTGACCTGAAAGCAGTAACATCCAAAAAGTCAAATTTAGCAGTGGAAATATTTGAGTATTTACTTAGAAAATACTTAAAATGTTTCTGACCAGTCCCACACGGTTTGGTTCCAGGGTGTCAAGTGACGTCCATGTGGATATCTTTCCCTGATCTGATTTGGAATCTGACTTCAGATTGGATCAGACTGAAGGTGGTTCATTTGGATTAGGATCCGATTTGAATTGATACATTGGGCTGGATTGATTGCTTTAATACCAGTAATCTGACAAACTTTGATAAAATCTGACTCTTTCTTAAACTTGTGTTATATGCAAGAACTTGTTTGTCATCTCAAATAAATTGATAAGTAAAATTTGTGCTGAACATGTTTCCTTTTTTTCTGCACACACTGTAACCAATAGTCCAAAACCTCCTGGGGCCCTAGTTGACATGATCCCTTTTCTTTTTATGAATTCATTTTGTATGAATAACCATGCAGGAATGCATTCAGCAAAATTTTGTCTCCATCCAGACTTAAAGAACAATGAATCATAAAAGAAAAGAAAAGTTCAGTCCAACAAAATTTATAAAAATGGAACACTTTTTTTATGTACAAAACAATGTAACATTGAGGCTTTTTTCTAGGATGACATCACAATTTTGCTCATGAATATGGAAAAACCATTTGCATAAAAAAGCAGTAAAATACTTTTTCAAATAGTAAACCAAAAGTTCAGAATAACACAAAGGTACATTTTGAAGGTTTATATTAAAACAAATTGCTGCTAGACCACAGACTGACTTGGTTTCACAGCAATGAATATGCCTGTCTCATTGAAAAAGCATGACAGTCATGAAATCTCAGCTGAATATGTACATGTACATGCATACAGGTTTTTCACATAAGGTAACTTGACGGGCAAAGGCAAATCAGGAAAAATTGTGCACCATGTCTGTGGAGGCATGTGCATTTTCAAATGTGTGTATTTCTGTTGGCAGTTTCGTGTACTGCAAAATGTTGAGAGACTTTGAAGGTGCGCATATGTCTGCGCACTTCCATGTAAATTGAGCGCCGACTGTCAAAAATCACGAGACTGAAAATCCTCTATTATACACGCACTCTTGCTTTCATTGCCACAAGGTTGCTGGCACAGTGCGAAAGCCCCAATGGCTTATTGCACACAGCAAGCCATGCTTACAGTGGGTCTAGCATTGGAGGTATTGACTGTTGAAGCGACAGACTGCAGGCAAACAATAAGACGAACAATAAGACAAGTCCTTTGCCGTGGACAAGTAATGCTGGTATTTACTCTATCACTTGATGGGCACTTCAAAACTATATTGGGACTGATTTTTTGTGAGTTTCTTTTCATCTGTTCATTGAAACTTTGGGTCTGATGACAACATCAGGCCCAATTTTCTCTCACATTGGTACTCTGTAGACATAAATGTCATGTTTATCTTCTATGTACTTTTCAAGTGATTACGGCAAACTTCACAGATATCAAACAAAATACATTTGAGTTTTTCAACCTGTTGCCAAAGGGGCACTGGAGCATTTGATGACTTCACTAGTCCAAGTTTTGAAGGATACCACTTGACTGGAGAAACACTGCTGAAAGCAAGTTCACATCTTTTACCTATTTAAAAACAAATTTAAAGGCACTTCCCGTTTCAACCTGTATCAAGAGTCTGGTGATGTTACATACTGATAAAAAAATAAAGACCTCAAATCACTTTCCAAAATAAGCAAGACACAGGAACTCATGATTTATTAGTTACAGATTTTTTAAAGATTAATATCAAATTTGAATTGCTTGTAATTCTATATCTAATGATGTCATGACGCCAGTCTCGCAGGACACAGATTTCTCAAGGGTTCTTACCTAACTCAAGTTTGAGAGTGGAATACACATGTATTAAGTACATGTATGCATGGGGTTAGCGGAACCAAAATAAAAAAAATAAGCAAAACAAATGAATAAAGTAAAGGCTTTTCCATATACACTTAAATGGAAGCGGAAAGCAAAAAAAATGATGACATCTCAATTTACAACCTAAAATTTGTCGAGAATTTATGTCCTGGTTGTTAGCAGATACATACTATTTGTCGATTTTACAATACGTTGATGATTCACAAAGTTCACTTCAAATTCTTATTACCTGATTAGATTTTGTCAGATTTAGATTGATTGATTCTTTATTAGTCAATAAAATAGAAATTCTTCTTCTGTTGGCAAAGTTTTGTAAAATCCTCATACCATATTTACCAAATAAAAGTTTAGAGAAAGAAATTATTAAAATATTAAAAATAAATATTTAAAATAATCTAGTTATACACTATACATGTACGTAATAAAATTATAATTTATAAAATATTCATCTAAATAACAGTGGTCATCTTACATGTAACTACTGACGTGCAGCAGTTGCATTCAATTTATGGATAGAACTTGGAACGAACGACTGTCTAAAGTGAGCAGTACATGTTATAGGGACACATAACCAAACATCTGATCAATTAAAAATGTAATAAGCATGGAGAGGGAGAGATTAGTCCTTCATAATTACACTTGTTTCAGCTAGTTTCTTGGAATCAATCAGTGATTGAATTGTAGACAGGTCTACACCAAAGAAAATGCTGTATAACTTTCCTTGGACTTTCAACCTTTCTTTTTTCCACACCATAGATGTTACCATAGTATGAGATTAATCACCAGTACACTCTGAATCACTGATTGATAAAACAGAGTCAAAATGATGTGATCTACCAGGAATATCTTTAGTTTCCTGAGGAAGAATGTTTGACTTGCCTTGCTGTATGACATTTGTGTATATACCTTGCATCAGATTCAGCATTTTGTTGCAGGATTTGCATTGATTTAAACTGTACCATGAAGGCTATTAGATTGGATCGGATTGGATTGAGTTATGGCACTTGGAATCAGATCAAATTCAGATTTTGGCCGGGAGTGGTCTTAGGTCAAACCTCTCCAATCCAATCTGACTGCCTCTTTAGTAGAATGTCTTTGTAATGTGAGTAGTAGTGTAGTCAGCTTGTATATACTGTCTACTGCCATAGGAATTTGGCTAGTCTTATTGTCCACACGTGACTCGCCGATTTCAAGGAAATAACCACAGTAGTTTTTCCATGCCAACACTTGCACCATGTACTGTGTGTGTATACACTATACCTAGGAGATCACTTTGTGTCTCAGAGTCGTCGTACATACATGTACATGTACATCCTGGCGCGGGGGGCCAAACTTGTGGCTGTGGAAGCGAGTCGGCATGTACATGTACTCCAATCAATTTAATAAAGTAACTGAATACTGGGCTTAAAACTCTACGTATACGCAGTGCACACCAGAATATGTCAAAGTGGGCTTAAAACCCTACGTACATATATATGCAGTGCACACTGTGGAATTTGGCAAAGTAATATCAAAGTACGTGTGCAATACTTGTACATGTATGTGTCTGTACTTTTTGACATTCACTACTAATCAGTGTTCTTGATAAAGACAGAATATTCTTAATAAAGAAATGCTCATACAACGTCAAAGTCAATCACTTTTTTAAAAAGCCTTCCAAGAAGCTCTACTTTTTAAACTTTTTTGTACAGGGAAACGTCTGAATTGAATTCTTTGAAATTGTCCAAATGGTATGATGCAAGTAATTATATTCTAATTTCTGTCAAGTTTAAATTAAAGAGTGTTAAATTGTAATTGAAAAAAAAAACTCATGTATTGGCTTTGTTATCGCCAAAAAAATCAACAACGTTGACAATAAGTATTGTGAAACCATGTGCCTCAAAGTGTACTATAACCATAAAATTGTCACTGAATGCAACAAAAATGTATACTCTTATTCCTACATGTACCTGTACAAGTTTACGTACAGTTGTACATGTGTAAAAGTTGTTGATATCAAAGTTGATTTTCATGTAGTAGACCTGTACTTTTTCCGTTTGCTTGTTTTATACAGAATTCGGGATGTTTAATGTGGTGTTTAGAGCATTCATTTATCTGAGTACCATTCTGCGTTTGAGCAAGTGTCGCAATGTACACGTACAGTATCAAATTTAAATCTGTTAGTAGATACCACTCGTAACTTTTTCAAATTTTTTCTTTATGTTCAGGTTAACTTTCATTGAAGAGGTACTGGTACCCCGGTACTATGGTCCATGGCTGTTGCGAAAGTTTTTCCCTGCTTGATTTCAGCAAGGTAAGCAAAAATGTCATCTGTTGAAGAATGCGCTTGAATCTGAAAATGTTATACTTTTGCAGTGCTGTTCTCATACAAAGCATTACTGACTGCTTCAAATGGTGTACTAAAACAAATCTCCGGAATATGCAATGCTCATCAGATCATCATAGAAGGCTACTGAGTCCTGAAAGTGATTGGTGTAAATGTGATTTCTCTGCACAAATGAACAGACGATGTGCTTGGATTGGATCACATCTACACAACTAGAATCACATCCGAGTCAGAAATGACATCCAGGATTATGTGCTTAGTGTCCAATAACACATCTTATGTGTACATCTTTCCAAAATCGCATTCATGGTCTGACCATACATTTAACCAAAATCACATAAAGCTTGATTTCATTTCCGGCTCGTGATTTTATAGGTGATGCATAACGGCATCACATTCTGTCTGCAATATGACATCCACCCAAATTGTCACTTCATTTTTGTAGGGAAATCACATCCAGGCAGTATACATGTACATTAAGAGATGGAGCTGTCAGTATTTGTTCATAAAATGCCTACCTAATAGACTAACATCCAAAAAATGTTTCCTCTATATCCATTTGAAAAGTTACTTGCATATGTTAAAACTTCTCTCTGTTAAAATTCTTCCACCAAATTGTCATTTCCTAGTGTGTACAATGTCCATGCAGGTATTCATATGTACATGTGCGGGATGGAACTCTGGTCGCTAATGGTACAGCACTTTGGTTGTTACAATGTACATATGTATGCACACATACTTTATAGGCCTGTTGACAATGACTTCACCTATTTGTTATTCCGCCATCTTGGATTACATCTTATGATCAGCTGTTGGGCATAAAGAGTCTGTGACGTTCATTCTCGATGTAAAGCATGCTCTCCGGTCCAGTTATTTTTTTTGTTTGCGCATATTGTATGAGCTTAATACTAGCTAGGGTCACGGTTAGTACTAGCAAGACTCCCAGTCAATTTATTGTTTATCCGCGGTGTTGGAAAGAGAGGGTGAGGCAACCCAAGAACTGTCTCAAAAACGACGGACAAACTGGCTGTCCAGCATATCAAGGCACATTCCTGAGAGGAATTTGCCCTACATCTGCATACATATGTTTGGATCATTTTATATCAGGTGCGTACCTGTGTTGTGTGATTTTTAGTTTACATGTACGAAGAGGGTCCTATATACCACCAACACTTTAGACCTCTTGCATGAAATAATTCTATTGTTAACACTTTGTCATGTTTATAGGACCAGCATAAATAGCCTACATGTGAGTCATAACAAAAAGTCTCATGCTAAGTACACAGGCCCCTATGCCTTACACGTAAAATTTGTTTTCATTTGTTTTCACTAGGATGGATTTAGAAACTGTTAAGGTTTTTCTTTGGCCTCAACCAAAGCAAAGCTAAAAACAGGGGAGACCAACCAAAATCTGTAATAAAAGGATCAAAAACTTCGTAATTTTTTCAGTGAGTTGTTTCACAGAATTTGTTGTCTTCATGCATCCAGATATTTCCGATTTTCATTATTGTATCCAAAACCTGAACTGAATAAACTTCTCGAGGATGCTCAGATTTTACAGGTCTACTTGTGAAATTGGGGCACGCAGTTATGATTATACCACTCAAAAAGGATGAAGTAGAAAACAGGCTAAGTGAAAAATGTGCAAAATGGTTGTGGACAAAGTGGTAAATGGTTAAAGTGACCGACACCAGTTTCCAAATAATTTTTGCAGTAGGCATGGTGTCACTGAGGACTTAAAACATATCACAGCAAAGGAGCAAATTTACCCTTTGTGCTATTCAATAATGCACTGAAGTGTCCTAATGTCCCAGGATGTCATTGAGTGTGTGCTCTTTGTATATGTATATAAATCTAAATTAAGGATAGACTCAACAACAATTTGGATCATCCTTATGTCGCGTAGCTAGGTACATGTACCCGCAGCATGCGAAAATATAACAGGATCCACTACGCTACTAATTTGGGTATATGTACAGAGATCTTTTTTTCAGTTCTTCACTTTTTATTACATTTGTCAAGTACACTTTGTACTGGCCCACCGGACCACAAGGTTTCTTAGATCAGCCGGTCTGCTGACTTTTCTACCAGCCTCGGGCCAGAGTACCACTGTTAATTTGACCCCTGTATATGTACATGTATGTAAGGTGAAGGTTCCCATAACCAAATTACTGATAAAATCATTATTATTTATGTTATGATTTTCCATTTATTATTACCTTTACCTAGTTATAACCCTTCTAATCTTAATTCTAAATCCCTATTTCCAAAGTGTACACAAATTACTCACTTTTATTGCTGTTCAGCCATCCTACATAGCTGTAGTGTAACTTGCCAAAACTTACCGGAGGTCATAGCCAACAAACAAACAAACATTCACTGACTTTGTTTAATTTTGAACATGTAGTTTGAAACAACACCTAATTTGAAATAAGGCACATTATTTGAGGTTTGTTGTACTTAAATTACACACTGTTTCTCAAGTTTTGTTGTGCTGAATTCAAAACTGTCAAATACCCAGGCCCTGCATATTTGCCTGAATTGTTTGTTAGATATAAAGTACATGTGTTTAAACTGCATGCCCCAGCTCATGTGGACAGCATGACAGTGCCTGCCCTTTCGCCACACGTAGGGCTGTGGTGGCTCTCTTTTGAAATCTGTCTCACTACAACCCTACTTCAAGGCATGACTTAAATGCCTGAAATACAATCTGCAGGATTGTCACAAAATTTGAATCCTAATATCTTCTGAAATAAGAAATGACTCAACAATTTTACTTACACCGGTGTATTCTTCAGAGTTTAGACTGGTTTTTCTTATGCCGTAGTTCAATGCAATGGTGTCTGCATGAGTAGAGACACCTTCAGAGGCCCAGACATTTCCACATGCTTTTCCAAGTCCCTAACCAAAGAGAAACATGCAATTAACGATGTGTTTGATAACCCATGGAGAAATAAAACACATTTCTCCATGATTGGACCAACTGAGGTTCATCGACTCGTTTCATTTTATGGCGACCTCGCTTGATAAGCTAGTCAAAGCCTGTCCTCAAGGTGCTTTTTCTTTAATTGGGATCCGTTTTCATGACCAAGCAGAGCTTCTGTTACAAAAAGGCATTTACCCTTACAAATACATGGACTCATTTGACAAGTTTACTGAAATGCAACTGCCAACACAAACAGAGTATTACAGTAGCCTCAAGCAAGAAACCGTTGGCCCAGAAGACTATGTCAGAGCCCAACGAGTTTGGACCGCATTCAGCTGTAAAACCTTTGGCAACAACCGCAACCTCAATGTGGAAACAGACACGCTGTTACTCGCAGGTGTGTTTGAAAACTTCAGATGCGTGTGTCAAGCAAACTACAGTCTTGACCCAGGCAACTACTATATGGCATGCGGGACGCTTTGCTGAAACACTCCAGTGTCTAGCTAGAGCTGCTGACAGACGTCGACAAACACTTATTTTTGAGAGAGCTAAACGAGGCAGTATTTCTAGCGTTGGTAATGCTCGGTATTTCAAAGCAAACAATAAGTACACTGTACTTGCCTGACTATGTTCCAGAAAAACCTGATTCTTACATCTTGTATTTAGACACCAACAACTTGTATGGGTGGGCGATGTCACTACAATTGCCTTACTGCAGATTTCGTTGGATCAAAAAAACAGACAAGTCCACCACCGAGCATGTGTTGTCCCTCTCCTCTACGACAGACACCGGCTATCTACTCGAAGTGGACTTCGGCTATCCTCAAAACCTCCACAACTTACACAACGACTATCCCTTGGCTCCCGAGAACTTTAAGATATTGATGGGTTAGTTTTCAGAGTATCAACGAGACTCGTGAGACCACAAGCTCACAGAACCCAGTACCACAGTCGATAAGCTGACAAGTACGCTCCTTCCTAAGTGCAAATACGTGCTACGCTACTTAACGCTCCAACTCTACTTGCGTCTAAGTACAAAAAGTACACCGCGTCTTGGCGTTTAAGGAAACAAAAATACCAAACTTCAAACCAAAGCAGTTTTGAAAGTGACTTTTTTTAAACTCATGAAGAACAGTGTAAAACGATGGAGAACGTGAGAAATAGAATCGACAGACATTTGCTTTACGACAAAAAAGACAATAGAAGGTTCGCGAGTCTGACATCAAAACCCAGCTACAAAACAGCCATGGTTTTCCCCGAGTGTCAGTTGTCTTTTGTCAAAATGTACAGAACTAAAACAACGCTCAACAAGCCGATCTACTGCGGTGGTAGCACTCTCAATCTGTCTGAAACGTTCATGTACATGTATGTGTTTGACTACAAGCAGTTAAAACACGACTACCAAGACTGGGTGTGCTTGTTGTATACAGACACTGATTCTTGTCCACATTTTTAAACGTTCTCTCTGAAGTTTTTTCATTATGAATTCGCTCGTTTAAAAATTCTAAAAGTCGGACACGATTTTGCCCCCACTGTTGTTTCCCTTGGGCCAATTGTTCCAAAGCCAAATTGTGTCTCTTTGCATTCTTCATCAACCTGTCCTTATTAGACCCTTTGAACGCCAATGCATTAACAATGGCTCCACCGATCATCATTAAAACACTCGCCATGTTTTTGGTTTCGGATTACTGTTGACTTAAAACCCTCAAAAATCTAAAACTACAATTTGTTACGCTTCATTAAAAACAAAACACAACCAACAACAAACATGAATTACGGTAAGAAGCTCCATCCAAACCGCCAACTCGAAGTTCCCAGAGCCATCAAAGGCAAAAGGTGTGAAGAGACCATTGCTCACATCCAGAGCACTATAGCCACGGGTCAAGTACTAATCGTTAAGTTTCCTCCGTTGGGCCCAGACGACGTCATCGTGCTGGGGAGATCCAAACTCGCTTTTAAACTTCAGCTAGACAGGGGATCGGACGACAATCGTACGTTTACAACAACGTCACACACAACCTGATCAAAGAGATCAACTTCA